AATGGTTTCTGTGACAAGATACTTTAATTAGTGTGTGCATTTTTATACCAAATGCAGGAGTGCTTCAGAAATGAGCAATTACAATCAGACATTCAACTAAAAATGTTAAATCTTGCCAATGATCCTATACCAGAAAAAGTTTTTGAAGTAAATCTTGATTCCTACAATATTATTGGGCTGTCTTTCAGGTTAAACCAATGTTTTACAGAAGTGGCAATGCTTCTTCTGAGTATCTAGATTTTTTACTTTTCATGGTGCTAAATAAAATAGTACCATTTGTTTTATATATACATGGGTAATGTAATGAGTAAGATATTAACTTTTAGTATATTTTTTCCTTCTTAACCAAGTTATGTAGGGTAAGTTTCAGATGGTTAAATCAGAAGTTATTGTATTTTGAAGCAGTATAGAATTGTTTTTGTAGAGGTCTGAGAGCTTAAGGTTTAATAGGATCCCAAGGTATTTTGAGGACTTTGACTTCTATTGGAACAGGAAATTAACCTTCAGGGTTTTCACTTGGCAATGGAAGACTGTTATATTTAGAATTTCTGATTTGTTTGAATATAATTTTGTCTTGGTGTTCTGCATTAAAATTGGTAGTATTGTGACAGTTTGTTGGATAAAATATAGTATCTGAAAAAGTTAATTTATGTGTTGAAGAACAGATAGACATCTTTTTACTCTTGTCATTTTTAGAGTGTCTCCATCACTATAAACAAAATCATTTAGATATGTCACAAGTTTACCTTTTGTATTTACCAGTAGGAAATGGTAAGGAATAGAATTCCATTACACTTGAGATGGGCTGCATAATCCAAACATAAAGAATGAATTCAGATTAAAGCTCCTCTTTGACCAGCTTTAAAAAAAAAAGAAAAAAGAAAAATGTCTAAAATGGCAGTCATGTCAGAAACTGCATCCAATGCTTCTTTCTTCTGCTCTGCTGTGTGAAAGGGTCCTTTCTGAATAGCCCATATTGCTGCCTGGTGACATAAGAACTGTCTATTAGCTAAATATAGTGTTCATGAACTTTTTCACAGGGTTTATGGGGGTGGTAAAAAGAAATATCAGCACAATGGCAAAGACCAGCAGGCAAGCACTAATCCCCAGCACTGGAAAAGGCTCCATGAAGAGTTATATGAAAGTGGAAAAGTATACTCAAATCTGGATATTAGAAGCACTCCCGTTCTACCCTAACACATTATTTTTTTTTCTGTATAAATAGATTGGACAAATAAGAACGGAAAGCAAGTTTTCACATATTGTACTGGAATACAATTCTCAGTACAGTTATCTATCCTTGCTGGGATAAATCATATGATCTGCATAAAACCAATCTGTTAAAATGTTTAGGAAGTGTGTATATTCATTTAAATATATCAATAAATAAACCTGAGGCATCGTATCTATATAGCTAATTGAACCTGTTTAATCCCATAGTTCTCCTTGCAAGTGTTGAATTAATACTGCCACAGTATAAAAGTGTATCTAAAGGCTAGATTTTTTATCATTGTGAAGTATTTCATATCTTGCTGTTTGTACTGTCCTTCTGTTCCTCTTAAATGAATTTGGTCTGGTCTGCTCAATTTCTCAATCAATTATATGCCCTATCCTCATTGCTTCCCCCTGGTAAAGCTATCCTGCTAAGAGAACGTGGATGTCACTTTGGGTGCTGATTCCCACAGTAAACAACAGTTTAATATGCAAGTACAGCTTCCACAGGAATACCCCCCCCCCCAAGCTGCAAATATTTGTGGTCACAGTCTCTTTCTCAGTCAACCCCACCCCATTCCATTCAGTATTGACTGATCTACCTCCATACAAATCACATGAGAAAACCATTTTAGGAGGACACATGCACATAGTACCTTCTACCTTGGCACAATATTGCTCGCTTGTAATTGTAGCCTAATTGGCAATGTGCATTCAAAACTTGAGTGCTAGTGCAACATGCAGGGAATAGCAAGGCAAACATGCAGGGAGGTCATACATATACAACCTTTTTGTGAATTACAAAGATAAATAAAATAAATAAATAAATTGATTTTAAACATATAATATGCAACAAAGTCCCACTAATCAAAAGAGTGTCCAAAAAGAAAGTCCAAAATAGTGTCCACAAATATCCCAAATATATTCACTCTTTTCATCCACTGAAAGGATTGGCTCCTATTTCATCCAAAACGCACCTCGAAGTAAAAAATATAATAATATCTAGTGCATTACCTTAATAATAATAATAATAACAATAATCACCCCGTGCAACCAAAATACACTTCAAAAAACCTTTTGTGCAAAGAAAGAAAAAAAAAAATATAACTACAAATTATTTTCTTATAGTGCATATAATCACACAAATCAAACTGTGAGCACTCTGTGGTCACTGCAATTCAGTGTCTACCATCAACCAACACACAGTAGTACTAAATACTATTACCCTCTATGAGTATTGAAATGCTCAAACAATACTATGGAAAAGTATTCCTCCACATTATCTTCCAAGAAGTTTTTTCCAAGGTCCTCAGAGAGATAAGAAGGGTCTCAGGACTAGTATTCAAAGCATAGGGATAACTTTTTATTCATCGCTTACATTAAGATTTAAAAATATCAGCTCCAGACATGGTTTCAAGCTTTTTCAACCAAACACCATAGAAAACCATGTGTTGAAAACCAACAAAACGGCCGTGGCGACACTTCCGGTCTATGTACGTGCGTCTTTAGGGGAGTGACATCAAGACGCACGTACGTAGACCGGAAGTATCGCCACGGCCATTTTGTTGGTTTTCAACACATTATTCCATAATAGGAATAATAATGGTTTCTTAAATTCTTTTGAGTTTTTCCATGGTTGCCCTTGCATATAGCATATTGTGTTTTATGCAATTATATGATTTAATTGAATTTTTTTGTGGTATTGTTTCATTATAATTTTAGTGTGACTTTGAGTGATATGGAGTATAAGTCTAATATAACTTGATATTTTGATATACCCTCAGTCAGATACTACTTGACTACTAGAAATGCCTTTATTATAATTTTAGAAATTAAGAATTAATTACATCTGGATTATAGCTACCCGAGTAGTAAACATGTATATATGAAAACCCAGGGGCATACACTGTATTTATGAAGCAAGGAATGTGACAGTAACCAAATTCATTGCAGGTAAATCAATCACTGTAACCTACAAAACACACACCAGGAAGACACAGCTGCTGTGAATGTTTGGTATATGTCAAATTCACTGCTTTATAAATATTCCCTCCGAAAGGGTTAATAGTTAACTAACTTTTGCTTTGTGCCTACTAACTGGTTTACTTCTCATACAAGGTGTTCCCTTGGTATTGAAATGCTGTTATCTATGCACACATTTTTCCTCTGGGAAATTGCAGAAGTTACTACTGTGTTGCTTTTTTGTTATGACTAGCTATATAGTAGTTTACGGAACTCTTTTTACTGTATCGTGATTGGTGCTTTTTGGAAACCGCCTGAAATATGCAATGTTACCATTTATTACATACTGTATATAGTTACATAATTAGTCTGGCTGAAAAAAGACAAAAGCTCAACCATTAAAAAAAAAAACCCAGCAAAGCATGATCTAATTTGCTCCTGCAGGGAAAAAAATTCCTTCTTGATCCCCTGAGAGGCAATCGGATATTCCCTGGATTAACTTTACCTATAAATGTTAGTATCCAGTTATATTCTGTGTATCCAAGAAAGAATCCAGGCCTTTTTTTAAAGCAATCCACTGAGCTGGCCAGAACCAACTCTTGAGGGAGTCTATGCCACATTTTCACAGCTCTTACTGTAAAGAAACCTTTCCGTGTTTGGAGATTTAATTTCTTTTCCTCCAGATGTAAAGAGTGTCCTCTTGTCCTCTGTGATGACCATTATTACTTAAGGCCTGATCAATAATAAAGAAGTTTAATTCTGCCTCACACATCTAGGTATTTGTGTCGCATTGTTCCCAAAGTACATTGAACTGTATGTCATTGTATCGAGGAAGAGGGCCCTAAATTGACATTCCTGACACCCTCTAGCATGAAGTTAACTAACATAAAAATGTTTTAACATGATTGTAGTTACCATGTTCAAAGTTACATGTTAATGTGTAATGGCCCAAGCTGCTCTTTTAAACAAAAGAGAATGTTACTGTATGCCTTTAATTACAATATGTTTTAATCAAAAAGCAAGAGTAAGAAGAAAGAGACAACAATATGCCAGTCTTGCAATGTAAAGTATTTCCACATAGGAAACAAATTAGAAGCATTGTAGAAACACTTCTATGAAGTCATGCCTTACACTTGCCTTGCATAATGCAACAACATTTCCAGATTTGTCTTTAAACACAGCTTCTATGTTCCAGTGGATTTACATTACAGAGGTTATTATTTCCTTGGACTGTCTTACAAAACAAAGATCCTCTTTGGGCAGAACCGATGTTAAGTATCATTCAAAGATGTCAATTCATTCCAATTATAAAGCAATATATACTACTAAATAATCATTAACCTAATAATGTTTACATGCTGTGTGTATGTAAAATACTTCCACAGAAGCAACACATTTTTCAGAAACACTTCTATGAAGACATGTTTTACACTTGTCTTGCATAATGTAACAATATTTATTCTATATGCCAGTAGATATATATCGCAGAGGATATTATTTCTTTGGATTGCCTTACAAAACATGGATCCCCTTTATGAAGAACAAATGTTAAGCATCATTCAAAAATGTCAATTCATTCTACCTGTAAAAAAAATACTACTAATTAATCATTAAGCTAATGTTTACATGTTACGGATATGTACTGAGCTATGCATAGCTGTTTAACCACCTCCCGTCTGCCATATAGTAATATGACGGACGTAAGGTGGCTCTCTCGTTTTGGGAGGACGTCATATGATGTCCTCCCATTCTAACCACGCATGCGCGGCTAGCAGAGCGTGCAGCGCGGCGATCGGTGGTGCGCTGTGTCCCTCGGACACAGCGGATCACCGATCCACGGAAAGAGCTGAAGATGTCGGCTCGGTCATGTGATCAGCTGTGTCCAATCACAGCTGATAACATGTAAACAGGGAAATGCCGGTTTTCAGCATTTCTTTCCTCTCGATCTGTCACGCTGACAGCTCGAGAGGAGAGGAATGCCGGTAATCGGCATTCGGCGGAGGGGACATGCACACTGATCATCAGAGCACTGATGATCAGTGTGCCCTGATGATCAGTGTAGCCCCAGCAGTGCCACCTGTCAGTGTCCATCAGTGCCAGCTGTCAGTGCTCATCAGTGCCACGTGCCAGTGCCCATCAGTGCCACATCAATGCCACATATCAGTGCCTACCAATGCACATCAATGCCACATATCAGTGCCCATCTGAGCTGCCTTTCAGTGTCACCCATCAGTGCCAGTCAGTGCCACCTATCAATGCCAATCAGTGCCACCCATCAGTGCTGCCAATCAGTGCCGCCTATCAGTGCCCGTCAGTGCCGCCTATCAGTGCCAGTCAGTGCCACCTAACAGTTCCAGTCAGTGCCACCTAACAGTGCCAGTCAGTGCCGCGTATCAGTGCCATATATCAGTGCCATATATGAGTGCTGCCTTTCAGTGCCCATCAGTGATGCCTGTCAATGCACATCAGTGTTAGCTACCAGTGCCTCCTTCTCAGTGCCCATCAGTGCCACCTATCAGTGTCCATCAGTGCAGCCTATCAGTGCCCATCACTGCAGCCTCATTAGCGCACATCAGTGAAGGAGAAAAATCACTTATTTACAAAATTTTTATAACAAAAACTAAGAAAAAAACTTTTTTTTTTCAAAATTTTCAGTGGTTTTTGGTTTGTTTAAGAAAAAATAAAAAAACCCAGAGTTGATTAAATACCACCAAAATAAAGCTCTATCTGTCACAAAAAAATTATAAAAATTTCATATGGGTACAGTGTTGTATGACCGCGCAATTGTCATTCAAAGTGCAACAGCGCTGAAAGCTGGAAATTGGCCTGAGCAAGAAGGGGGTATAAGTGCCCTGTAGGCTTGTGGTTAATGAAGCACATCTGCAATTACTTGGCCATTTTGACGTTGCTATTTGCAGTGTGTGGTCTGTGTGCTACAATTACAAAAATGTCATTGGATAAAGTAACACATACATTAGCATGTTTGCTGGAAAATATTTATTTATCTGCATTTATTCAATTATATGGTTTATAAATACAAGAACTGATTAAAGTGCAAAGGCTCTAACAGTGAAATTGTGAAACAACAGTCATATAAAGAACATACTTGTCTGATCATACAGCCTTTAGCAGCACAATTTAACCAGGAGATTGGTTGATTTTGTGACCAGAAGTTACTGACGCCTAGGTGCCTAGATCAAATTTATTAGCACTAGTATGCGCTGGTTAACTTAACTCGTATGACTAACTAACCTACTTATTTTGAATGTTTTTTTAAGCACTCTGACCAAACTGTTGCAAGTCTTAAAAAAAATCTCCCTCCCCAGAGGAAAAACTAGCAGCCTACATTAGACTACAAACACTGTTGCAGTCCAATGCATTTTTGCAAACACTTTTTTTGGCGAAGAAAAAATCTCCCTCCCCTCTAGCTATCATTTAAATTATCATATCCACATATGGGAATAAACTTCTAGAACCGATGAATTAAACCATGCCTATTTACATTAGGCCTGGGAGCTACAGTATATTTAGCACTTTCTCAACAATCATCTCCAGTATCTCATTAAATATGTACAAAAGAAGTTTGTAGTACTGACTTGTTTGATAGCAGTTGGCACTAGAAAAAGCAGTTGACAGGTTGGGTATGGTGCTTCCTGGAAGAAAATTTCACTGAAATTAGGACTGAATGGACAACAGAAAGAGGAACGAGAACTTCAATTTGTTCCAGTAAAATCACACTCTAGTGCGATCAGACAGAATGGGTCAGTTGAGCCAATATAGAGCTAAAGCATGTCATTGAATGGGCCTAGGATGTGGAGGTTCAAATCCTGAACCCTGTTGTAATTCCACTCAGAAACTGGATGGCACAAGTGGCCAAATGAGCCACTGTATTAAATCCCCATGGTGTGGATGATCTTAAAATTGCTGTATGAAGCAAAGGGATTATGTTTTCCAAAGGGTGTGCAACCAAATATTAAGTTAAGGGTGCCAATACTTTTGTCCAGCCCATTTTTGGGGTTTTGTACTTATTTGCTTTTCTGCCTCTGTTTTATATTTGTTCCAATACATACAAAGGGAATAAACATGTGTATAGCCAAAACATGTGTTAATGCAATACCTTTTTTGTGTGAAATACTTGTGGAAAAATTCAAGGGTGCCAACAATTTCGGCATGACTGTATTTGTAATATAAAATTTAGCCCATTTGTGGAAATTCTGACATCCATGGTATATCCATATGCAATTATCACTATAAACTATATCACAAATCTATTGTTTTGCTGCTTAGGGAGGATAAATATAAATTAATTTTTTATGGATATCTTGCCAAATTTGCTATATACTGGCTTGGATTATTTAATCTATGTAGAATTTAATCTGGGGACATGCTGGGGGTGATTGTAGCCATATTAGTGCACTTGCGACAAAAACAATTGAGTACTGTCCGTGATATTTTTTTTTAATTTGCACTAACATACAATTTTTCAGGACAAGCTATCTTTTATGGACCTTGGGGTATGTAATGCTTGGACCTTGAAGGGGGACATACCCTGAAAGCTTGTCCTGAAAAATGTTATGTTAGTGCAAATAAAAAAAGTATCACGGACAGTACTCAATCATATTTGGGTACATAAATGTTCTAGGCTTCATAGAGATATTCTCATTTGCCTCAAGTTAAGTGGCAGGCTTGATCTTTCTGATCTATCTTTATATCACTCAGTCACAGCAATGATCAGACTGGTAGACTGGTTTCATAGTAAGTAGGATACGTTGTGGATTACTCTAGATGAGGATACTCTTACTATACAATTGAGGGCTCTGCTTTGGGGGACCCTGGATTTGCAATTTTCTTCAAATAGCTTATCGCTTTTGGTGTCAACTATTTTGCAGGCATAATATGATATGCTTAAAAAAGTGATTATTGGGAGGGGTGTTGTCTCTGCATGGAGGAATGAAGACGTGCCTGTTCAAAGCTCCTGGGTGTTGGGCACAGCTATAGTATGCATGTGCTCATCTACTAGACTTCTTACCAACCTGTGGTGAAATCAGGAAATCAGAGCATTCTCCACAGACCCACTGTCCCACCACCATGGACAGATACCTCAAGTAGACAAAGCCCACTGCTTCACCTCCTGCTGCAGATAATATGGCACTGCCAGAACTCTCCAGTGCCTCGACCATGGCTTCAGCTCCCCTCCAGCACTCACACTCAACTCAGACATCCAGGAGCATACCATGACACCTTTTTCTACACTGATCAATTTGTTGTCCTGCTTGCCTCACACCTTCACAATATCGCCAGATGATAGCTCTTCCGGCATGATACAGTTACCTTTCATAGAACATGATAAGACTGGGTCCTCCTTTCCCTCTACTAAGCCTGCCTCAGGTGTGGCTATGACACCAGGGACTGTCCCTTAACTGAACTCTGGCTTGCAACCCACAGTGAGTG